ACTGAACGTTAATTTCTAGAAATGGTTAATATCAATAATGCACTTTGAAATAACTTAATGATAATGTTTGAGATCTAAAGACTTATGAACTTCAAGTAGTTACTAACAAATCTAGTTGGATCTGAAACTATATTAATATAACTTCCAAAATGTTACAAAAAGCATTTAGAAAACCTACGAAATGAAACTAACAGCTTTATATTTACCTCTTCATTGCTGACTTAGTCTGATAAGAATTAGTCTGGAGATGTAGATACCGTTATAATTCTGAAAATTCCTTTACTGTGCACCTTCCGTTTCTTTCAATAACCACATTCTCTCGAAAGGTAACGTGACACGTATTCACGGTCATTTTGCTGTGGCGAATCATTAACACACACAGAAATTCAGTGTCATAAACAGTTCTCCTTTGCGGTACCAACTCAACCCGTTATCTCTTTCACAATACAAAAATGTTTACTTATTTATTCCAGCAGAAAAATGTCAATTTACAGTGGAACCTTACGTTGTAATCCTAGAACATGGACAATCAGTTTTCCTTCCATGAAAACACAAGCTTTCTAGATCGGAGTGAATAGAAACGTGGCTATACGGGAGTTGCTGCGCCCCATGCACAGTAGCCAACGCTTTGGCTATCGTACTGCTACCTTCCTCAGGGCGAAATGCCCTGGGAAATGACATTTCGACTTGAAAAGGTCGCGTTGTGACAGCCAAAAGGTTGACAACAATGATTAGGTCGTGGTGTCTCCCACACAGCAAAGTTTCTACAGTTTTTCTTTCCATTCCACTAAGCACAATACTAAAGGTTCTCATCTCAGTCCAACGGTATTATAAACCTGAATTACAGCGACATTTCATCAATTCTCTTCTTTAGTTTCTTTAGAAATCGCCAATTCCTTCACAAGACAGATAAAATGCTTTCACGTCAAAATCACTGCGGCTGCGGTGACGATGACAGCGGTGTGACAACATCTCAGGGGCGACCCACGCCTGCACCTCCATCTCCACAGATCGATCCTTAAGGCGGAGGCCAAATAAACACCGCAAGATAAATCAGTTGTTTTTGAACGGCATGGAATACAGCAATTGACTGCAATTTCGATCTTCTGCGCTTGTGCAGATGGACAAAAGTGATGCGAAACTCAAACTGCGTAGGTACTCCAGATCGATAGTTTTACAACGCTTCGCCGTGCAAAAGGAGGCGACAAATACTACATTATTCTGATGCCGGAAACATTTCCTGGTTGATAAAGAGGGTGTCATGAAGGGAAGTAATAGTTGAATAAAATATTTTATTTCACAAATTTTCTAATAATATATTTTAAATTTTCATTCCTAACACGCGGAGCTGCTACAAACCCCCTCATTTTTATTTATCTTTTTATCTGCAGTGCGTAAGGCACAGAGGCGATTGTTTCGAAACGTTACTCAGGGTTCATTAGTACACATACGTTTTTAATACAGAAATGAATACCTCATAAACGAAATGATAGTGACGTATTGCATGTAGTGGTGTAATAAATGTATTAAATTTAGTGAATATTCGGGGAATATAATTCTTTATTATAGAAATGAATGAATAAACAGAACCCCCAATTTGTATATTTCAATGGGTGAAAAATAAAACGGTATAAGTGACATTATATAAATTCTGTAAAATCTGGTTACCTACGTCAATATTACTGTAAAGTTGTGGAGCTTTGTTTCATCATGAAAACTACAGTGTTTCAATTGTTCAATAAAACCACGAAAATACATTGCTATTGAAATATATTCTAAAATACTTTTTCTCAGAATTTATAAAATGTCACTTATACCGTTTTATTTTTCACCCATTCATTTATGACAATAAATGTCAACCACCGTTCCCACCCTCTCTCCATATCCATCTCATTTTCCGTCTCCGCCCTCTTACTCCCATCCACCCACGTCTCCGTCTCCAAGTCTTTCCACATCCACCCCTTCCGTTTTCTTCCCTTCTCCACTCCCACCTCAGCCACCACATCCACCTCAACCTTCACCTCTGCATCGCCTTCCTTCCCCGTCGCCACCGCCGTCTCCGTCTCCCCCTCCCTCCCCCTCCGCCCTCGGCAGCGCGTCTTCAGCGGCCCCACGCAGCCCGAAGCACGACGCGGCACAACGGCGCGCCCTTCATAAAAGCGACAGCTTTACGCGCTGCGTTAGCGCGCGCCTCCGCGCCCTTTGACGGCGCCGCTGCGCCCCCGCTTCCGCCCCCTCCCTCCCTCCCCGCCCCCGGCGGCAGTCGCGTCCGCCTTCGCCGCGGTGTCGCTGTCAACCGCCTTCATCGCTACACTCGCCGCCGCCGCCGCCGCCGCCCGCCGCTTCTCTCGGCGCCCGCGACCGGCGCGCGACGCACAGAGGGGCAGTGCACCGAAAGTGTCAGGACGAAATACGGAACTGTACGTTTTGTTACGACAAACGCGTGCATTTTTACGACATAAATAATAATAATAATTTAAGTTGTAATTAGTATTTAATTTCAAAAGTGTTTTATAGTACACTGATTAAGTTTCACCAAATTTTAACAAAACTTTTTAATTTTGCAAAAATAATCGTGTGGTGTTTGTAAGCGATAAGAGTTGTTCCAAATGGGGCGTTGTTTAATACCCTTGATTTGGGATACATACTTTTTGATTGGTGGTTACCTAATCTTTTAGTTCGACCTCACCTGGCAACTAAGTATAATGTGACGGATCGACAGCACAAAGAAATGCGCATTGACGTCGCTGCTCAACATATTTCCATTCATCATCTGACGTGGTTAAGGACACCATTCGATGTCACTGAAGTGCTTCTGACTGGGAAATCCTAGCGCATCTCACCGCGACACGATTTTCGACCCTAGATAGACAACTGTAACAAGTTAGAGGAGAATATTAACGGGCCAGCCGCTCTGATTGATTGTGTTCCGCACGTTTCCCAATTAATATAAAGTGAGTATAACCCAGCAGTCAGGGCTACGGACTGTGCGCGATCTTTGCTCCCTCATACTTGTTCCTTCCTCCTCTTACACAAACATATACTCACATATACTCACTACACTACTACCACACGTGTCGGGAGACCAGTCTAGATATTAGAGCATTTGGTGGCTGAGGCGGTGTCCCACAGATGAAATGGACGCGGAGACGGCGGTAGCGACGCGGAAGGAAGACGGTGCGGAAGTGAAGGTAAAGGTGGATATGGAGGCTGAGGTGGGAGTGGAATAGGGCAGGAGTCGGAGGGGGTGGATGTGGAAGTGCCCGTAAGTCGACGTGTAGGTGAGCGCCAGAGATCATCCAGTGCAAGAACACCGCCATCTCCTTGAATAAAAACATGCACTACACTTACGTGTCTAATGATCTTAGCAGTAGACGCGCCCGAAAACGGGAAATAATCAATCAACATTCCCATTCACTGTGGGTGAGGCAAACACCACTACTTCTGCCTCAGCTTCAACAATAGCGCCGCCGCTGTAGGAAAACCGACTGAGCATTTCGATTGTTTCATTTGAGTTTCTAGTTCCGCAGACAAGCTCGTGACATTCCTCCGAGGTGCGAGACAAGCCGATGCCACGAATGGGCGGCCATGACATCACTGCTCCCGGTTAATACTACATTTCTGGATGCTCGTCCCACTGCTGGCCGCCTGCCACCCGACTGCGATGGCTGAGCGGCGAAGGACGAAATTGCCGGGATGGGCTTACGAAAACTCGACGGAGGTTTCTCAGAAGCGGTTGAAATTATGGCGAGGCTGTGAGTAAAACGGGGAAATTTCAGAAGTGGTAAAGGCGCCGTTCACTTATTAAGCATGCATTCATTTCCCTTGCAGGGCATTCACTTGCTTTGGAAAATATTTAATAAAAAATAATTATATAAAAATAGATCTGCATTACATATTTTCAATAATGGTTTAATGAAATTTTGCATTTATCATCACTTAACACATCTTCAAGCAGTTTTTCAAATCAATAATTTCTTTAAATCATTGTCGCTAAATATTCAAAATATGAACAACTTTTGAAAACGAGTTTTTCAGTAATGTGACAATTTCTACAACTTGTAGATTTCTTACAAATCAACCTACTACACAAATAATATTTAGTGCTCATTATTTACTTATTGGTTTTAATGATGTGCAATTACTTACCTCAAAATAATAATGATAGTTTTTTAATATTTCTTAAACTTTCAATATTTTTTAATCAACAGATATTCAACCCAAATATTATGAGCCATAAAATTGCCATTTGTTTCCATTCTAAACATGAAAACGAACAATTTCAATTTACTTTGTCTATGTAATGGACTGAATATATGGCATGATTTCAAACTATTATTTAGTTGCAGGTTCTACCAGACCAATTCAGGACGCTAAAATGTACTGTCTCGAGTTTTAGAGTTCATAACATTTTCATTATCAAGTATAAAACCTTGATACTAGTCAAGGAAAGGAAATTAAGCAAGAATATTAGAATTCAAAATATTGTTTTCAAATATTGACGTTCTACTACTGCACGAGAGAATTTTCTTTTATTTTCTCTGTCCCCAAGGAATATTGAGAAACTGAAAATAGGACATAACGCAACAACGAAACAACACATACTATAACATCTTTCAAAATCACGCGTGTAATGACATGGCAATATTCACCAAAAATGCCGTGAACAGAGAACTGTGAGTTATTTTCTAGTCAACATTCACAAAATTACATCAGTGAAGTACCTGACAACACAACTACCAAAAAAAAAAAAGTCTCTCGTTACGACTCCTCGCAATTTTTACGAGTCGTTATTTCACGACTGTCACCCGCCAGCATATCCAGCTTTGAGACGAACCGCCTCCGAACCATCAACTCCGATTTTAAGAGCTCTTCCAGCGCCAAAAGTGCTACAAACTACAGGGCCGCAAAGCGCGGGACAGAGCCGTCGCCATCCCCGCACCAAGACAACTCCTCGCGCGGACAACAAGGTAAAACGTTGCGTCTGCACCGCTACTTACAGATACTTCAGCTCCTTCAGCCCGTTAAACACGCCATTCTGCAGCCGGGTGATGTGGTTGTTGTTCAGCAGCCTGAAACAGGAGCAGACACAAAAGGCCGTTAGCGAGTGAAGATTACCGGGGGGCGGAGACTCGTAAACCCCCTGTAAGAGTGCGCAGGTGTCGCATAACGGAACATCGCAAATTACCGCTGAGTTTCGCGGGCGCTCGCCGCCGCAGAGGCGGGCCGTCCCGGCGTTAACGAGCCTGGCTGTAACGCTACGCGAAGTGCGCGCTAAAACGCGTTGCTACGCGCGCGCACGAGATACCGTCTATGCTTCGGCGGCGTGGTGGGAGGTGGGTTTGCGAAATGGGATTGCAATACGGCTTTGGCGGGGGCGGAGGATAGCTCACGTACATATCGCGGTTACACGCAGTAAGTAGTATGTAGAAGCGCACATCGGTGGGTGAAGGGCCAGCTTACTGGCCTCTGGATTTCCAGTGCGCGGTTTCCATCCCGGCGGAATCCCATGTGGATTTTAGATGGGCGGAGAATCCACAGTAGCCAAGTCACTCTTGTGGCTTGCAAATGATCCCTGGCGGATGCCGGGAAAATTAAATTCCTCCGACAATATCCCGCCCTAACGAGATATCACTTTCTCACAGACGGATAGCTCGGATGTAGTTAACTGTGACAGACAACTGACAGAGTCACACCCCAGGCGCATCCAGGGAACGCCTGCGAGGCGCGCGCCTGGTCGAAACCGCCTGCCCAGACCCGCGTCGGAGGCATGCTTTCAAGAAAACGTGGGTCGAAAAAGAAGCTGGCATCTGGAACGGATTTGAATATTCTTTGAGGTCGTTGCTAAGGATCACATGCAATCAATGCATTACAACTACTACTAATATGTACGTAGAAGTTTGCTTTCCACTACTGGAACAGGCAATCAAATCTCGGTCGAGCCTCCAGAAGATTCTGGAACATGAAGTGGGTTGGAGGTAAGGGTTTTCTCATTCCACTCTTGCTTCATAATTTTTCCGTGTCTTCATTATGATCTACTGATAAAAATCATTAACATTTTTCCTGGCATGGCCATAAGGCTTAAGCACTGGTTCAACAATAATCAGCAGTAGACTGTACTTGATTAGATAGTAGATTTTCCTGCTTTCATTACATTGTTGCTTAATTATATTTCATGCTTTCATAATCGGCTATACATCCAAATAATTTACCTACTTCCAGGTATGGCCATAATGATAAGGCACAGATTTAACGGTAAACGAAGAACGCAGTAGACTATACTTAATTAGATAATAGATTTTCCTGCCGTTCATTACACTGTTGCTTCTTCACATTTTGTATCTTCATAATCGCTTGCTCATCAAAACCATTCACTTTCTTCCAAGTGTGTTCATAAGGCTATGGGAATGGTATCACGATAAAGAAAGAATGCAGTAGACTGCACTAGTCGTGATCTTTTAACTTTTTACCCGCACTCCCAGCCCGGTAAATTCAGAAATTAGAAGTAGGAATTCTGCTGCAACTCCTAAACATTGTTCGAAAAAGAAAGTAATGTCTTTGAATGTGGGTTTATATTGCCCTACATTCACCTTCTTAGCGACGCTTGTGGGTCTACCATGCCGGCCATTGAACTATGAGTATAATGGGAATATTGATGGCCGCTATCAAGTCATGTACAATTAGTCACACCGATAGTAAATTGCCGTTGAAATTTGAAATTGCCGTTACTCTCATGGCTCAAGGCAAAACTCCGGGTTCGATTCTCGTAGAATACCCATAAAGCCACATGTGAAATTTGTTACGATCAAATGAATTTGCATGCTTCACAGGGCCTAGTCCAACCCCTGTGAAGCTTCCTAAGCCTTACTCCCTATCATTATTTCTTCCCAGAGCAGGACACGTGCTTCCGATGCAGGGTGTGTGCGAGAGGCGAGCTAGGACCCACCTGTAGTCAATTTGTTGACCTGAATGTGACTGACGTGACTAGTCAGCGCCCCTAAAGGGCGCTTGTAACGGAGGATTACTCCAACAATTGTAAATGTTAATGAAGGATTACTCCATAGTGCGCTCAACCCTTCATAAGGAGCTAGGAGACACGTTGTGCCATTATAGACGCAACAATTAAAAAAAAATTAAACCAAAATATTGCCTCTTCAGTATTGACAATATACTGCTCTGTCGAGAGTGCTCGAGTGTCTATTCGTACGTGTCAGAAGGCTTTGTGTTCTACTGTTTGCATTAAGGATATGAACTCCCTGACCAGTAAAATCCGTTAACGTAAATGTTGATTCTTCTCATGAAGCTATATAAAGCGTTTCTCTGGCATGGCGTTCAAAAAAACGTAAATAGCATTTGAACTAAATAGAATTAATAAAATAATAAAAAGCATCCTGATAGTGTTGACCAAGTGTAACAAAAGCATCTAAATTCGTTCCCTTTGGCTTAATGTTGGATATCCGCAGCCTTTTAATACTTGGGCGAAACGTGCTTTGAACTTGCAGTGAAGACGTTTATTAGAAGAGCAATAAAAATAGTTTAATGGAGAAACTTCTCTTAAATGCTTCTTTAACTCTCTATCTTCTCTGCTGCTACAGCGGAGTGCTAGAAACTTCAGAAACAGACTTGAGGGCTCCACAATGTTCAACTGTTTCAGCAATATAACTATGCAGTTTACACTTTTATTATCATTTAAGCACTGAGATGTTTTCCTTAAGAACGGACTATATTTTATGAACGCAAGGGCAATATAAAACTAAAAGGCACTTATTGAGTTGATTACTTTATTAAAATTTGTTTATAATTGTTCCAATGTTAAAAATCAATAACCTAATAATTGACAGTTGAACTCTCATTACTGCATCAAAAATGACAATTAGACACTGCAGGGCAATATAGGAAATTTGTGTATTCGAAAACGATGAGTATTAAGTGTTGTAGAAAATTCTTTTCTCAAATTTGTATTAAAACTCATACTAACAAGTAATTTAACATCACGTTTTAACAGTAATTACAAAACGTCTCAACACCGATGCTTTCATAGTGAAAATTGTTTAACATACACATAGTCTTTTGAAACGCACGTGCTCTCTGAAGATAGAGTCGACGGTGACCGGTTAAAAACAAAAACAAATCTGCTCTCATATAAATGATGAGAGAGCACATCTCTTCCGTCAATGACCTTCGTAGACCATGCTCACGCATAATAATAGCGGCACGGCTCGCCGATTATCGTATGCGTCCGGCGGAATAACGTCACACCTCTTCCACACAGTCTAATATGAACACTGGAAGAGGATCAGTACAACACGGAGGTCAAAAGTAAATGAATCTCTGACAAGGAAAATAAAAAGTGTTTGTGTAAAGCGATTAATTTTGAAGTGTACATTCAGAAAGTTAATTATTTGTACATAATATATGTAACATTCATTCATTTGTCTCTTGTAAAAATATATAAAAAATAATACAAGTACAGGAATGGGATTAACAGTAATATGAAGAAGAAAAAGAAAAGAGAGCAAAAGCTTGAAATTAAGAGTTATTTAATACGTGCTTTTTTGCATCCGAGCGAAAAAGCTACCGATGTTTTGTATTTAATGGTATTAAAATTAAATGCATATTTAACTTCGTTCCAAATAACAAAACTGTATCGGTTGTTAGCTTCCCGAATTCTCAAAACGTTCATTAGTTGACCATCTGCAAAAGAGAATTTTTTCTCAGGAACCAATAATGACTGTTTACGACGTGTTTCACTGTATTTTCCTCGTGTAATATCAACTTTTTCACCGATATTTGTGTGTGCTTTTCTGCCCTTTGATCACCCTAAGCGTTTCCTGATTTCTCTCGCTCTTATATCTTTCCTTCCCTCTTCCAGCAATCTTTCACCCCGTGCATATTTACCATATCCCCGTTGCCGCTACGATCTATCGCTACGATCTATCCTTACGATTAACGGGCGCGAGTTGAAATTCAGCAGGTCGCTACTCTCGTGAGCGAGGAGGCTGCACTGGAGCAGGAGGAGGAGGAGGAGGAGGAGGCGAGGGAGAATAATGTGCGCTGTGTTTAGCGCTGCCGGCGACGTGCACACGCGGTCGGTCAGCGGTTTCGTGTTGACCCGTGCGCCCGTCGCACGCTTTCCGAGCACGCGCCGTGTGACACGTCACGCCTGGGAATGGACGGTGCGCACGGCGGCGCGGTGGTGAGGGAGGGGCGGAGGGGGAGGTTCAACTGGGTCAGAGGGAGAGAAAGGGACGGGAAAAGCTGCTGAATGGGCAGAAGTGGATGTAATGAGTCGGCGTTCTTTGGACATGTTTCTTCGAAACAGTGGATAGTTTGATTGATCGGTTGATTCGTTGGTAGTGATTCCGGGCGCGTCAACTACTGAGGTCTAGGATCCCGTTAGTGTATTGCATGTTGTTGTTTTTCCACGGGAGGTGGCGGTGATCTTCCCTCGCTGGATGGTGAGATCCGGCGTCACCCTCACGTCGGCTACCGGGGTTTCCCTTAACCCGGTAAATGCCGCCAGCGGAGCACCGTCCCAACCGGGACAAGCTCTAAGCTCCCGACTGCACCGGTCTCCCGGCATGTGCGGTAGTGTAGTGCATGCAGTGTAAGTGTGTGTAAGGGATGATAAAGGAGTGGAAAGGAAGATCGCGCGCGGTCCGTGGCCCGCTTGCAAAGGTAAATGCTCCGGCATTTGCCTGGTGTTGATCGGAAAGCTACCAATCACAGCAACCGGCCTCTAGCATTCTCCTCCAGGAACCAACTGAATTCGATCAAGCTGACTGTCGAAATTTTTGCTAGTATCGAGACTCGAACCTAGCACCTCCCGATCAGAAGCAATGTAGTGACATCAGTTGATGTACTGAACCATCTCTCCCTGTTTGATTGGAGATTTATGGCGCGGTGGTATATGGTCATTAGTACCGTAAGTGTAGTTCATGTTTTAATCGTGGGAGGATCTTCCTCCGTTGGCCGGAGAGATCCGGTGCCGACTTTCGTCGCTGAGGATTTTCCCCAACCAGATATCTCCCACAAATGAGGGACCGCCCCAGCCAGAACATGTGTGGGAGTG